GCCACCCAAGCCATAGACTATTCTCTCTGCTTCCGCACGGAATGCGGTACCAGTGCACCAACAGGCTCCTGAACAGTTTCTATTCCCAATCCATAAGACTGCTAAATAGCTAACAAAATGGCTACACAGACTATCTGAGTTGACCCTTGTATTTATCTCTATGCACACTCTCCGGACTCTACACACTCACGCACAGTGACACTCCAACACACACATAACATGCACACACATTTATACTGACTACACACACACACACACACACAATTGCATACAGTCTTCATTTACGCTGCTGCTACTCTGTTTATCATACATCCTGATGCCTAGTCACCTTAGCCCTATACATATCTACCTCTTATCACTCCAGTATCCCTGCACATTGTAAATATGGTATTGGAACTGACCCTGTATATAGCTTCTGACCCTGGAACTGACCCTGTATATAGCTTCTGACCCTGGAACTGACCCTGTATATAGCTTCTGACCCTGGAACTGACCCTGTATATAGCTTCTGACCCTGGAACTGACCCTGTATATAGCTTCTGACCCTGGAACTGACCCTGTATATAGCTTCTGACCCTGGAACTGACCCTGTATATAGCTTCTGACCCTGGAACTGACCCTGTATATAGCTTCTGACCCTGGAACTGACCCTGTATATAGCTTCTGACCCTGGAACTGACCCTGTATATAGCTTCTTACTTTCTCCCGTTGTCCTTATTTCTATTTCTTGTGTTTTTTGTGTGTTTTTTTTTAATATTATGAGGCATGTCTTACCTTGCTTCAAAGTAGCCTATAGGCAAAATCCGACCATGGAAACGTGGGGGCAATTATTTAATAAAGACTTAATAGGCGGCGCGTGAGTTTTCATGTTGGGGAAGCTTGAAATTGTTCCTACCATGCTTTGGATAAAAGCGTCTGCTAAATGGCATATTATTATTATTATTTGTACCATTCTGCGTGCCAGTTATGATTTTCATATGCGCATTTTTTTGTGGAACAGATTCATTTCAATAATAACGTTTTCGTTTCTCAAAATCATTGTCACGTGGTTAATTATAAAATTCTGAATTAAAATGATAAAAATCTCAAAGTTAAAAGTCAACTAATGCGAGATCACCAGCCTCCACCATATGGACGCGTTGATACACCGTGATTCATTGATGGCTAAAGTAATTAGTGCATGGAACTCTTAGCCTATAGGCCAATGTAACACTGAGGATTTGTGATTATTGAGGGGGAGATTGTTGGAAAGATTTTTCAAATAGCTTACTGTGAGGAACTATAGTTAATATATAATTTACATTTAAATTATCATTCGCAATGGATATTAAAATAAAAACAGTTTCCTACATTTCTGCGCAGCAGGCCAGGTAATTCTATGCGTGCTCAGGTGTGCGCGCTCGTTCAACATTATCAGGACAGAGAAAACAGATACATGCTCATTGCTCACATGGAGCACTCCTAACAATGAAAAAATGTACAAATCTCGTAAATGATGGTTATGAAATAAACCAAAACTTGTTTCTCACAAGTATAGCGGGTTGTGAACTCCGCAAACAGCGTTTCCAGTCCGAGAATGAGAACGGTAAATGACTGTAATTAATACTTGCATTAACAGAAATTAATGTAACCAAATGACGGGAATTAACGTTACATTTACTACTGGTGACGTAATGGGGAATTTATGTAAAAAAATAAAATAAAAATGTATGAAAGGGCAAACAATTCACACAATGAAACAATGAATGCGCAAGAATTGGCGGGAGACAGCTGAGCCATTCTGGAGAGAGACTCGCCTATATCTTCACCACACACCCCTCCCCTTCTTGTCTCAAGATTTTAACTTATGCTCAAGACACATTATCTTCACATTTGTTATGCTTTTCACTGACAGCCGAAACTCAATAATTTAAAATAAACTAATGATCATCAATTCCTCTGTAGCTGTCATGCTTTCTGGTGAAGTATTTTGAAGTATTTTATTTCTGTATAGACAGGAGTAATTATATAATTTTGGCAAATTTATTTCCATTTACTTCCCTATTGGACTCACTGCTATGCCATTTCTCTCCTGTTCTATTGGTTTTCATATGAACCAGGGCCTAACATTTTATTTTGGGTCCACCAGCCACTGTGGAAGGTAGATGAAAATAATTACATTTTTTTTCTAAAACAAGAAATGTATTAGGAAGAAGTGATGTGGTATATTGCTGAATTTCATTAAATTTTTTGTGACCTCAAGTCTTTTTAATCAAAATATCAGGGCCTGTAACGGGGCTACTTGAGTCATGTCTGTGTACTCTTTGCTATCAGTTGAAGCAGCAGACTCAAACTAACATTTGAAAAACAACCGAGCTTGTGAACAAAACAATGTAAATAGCCAAGAAACATGAGGACAAAGTCAAATTAGACCAACTTTTGCCTGTGTGCAACGCCTCCAAATGAATCTCTCAGCACTTCGCACTTCACTCAGTGAGCTCAGCTCCCCTGCCAGGCAGTGTTGCTGCGAGAGGTGGGACATAGGATTATAATTTATTTGTGCAATTAGTAGCTGTGAAACAAAACAGCAGAAATACTTTGAAAACAGCTATTGCAGCATTTTTGTAACTCTAACTCTAATTTGCTTATGCTTGATTTTTGACCATTTTTATTCGCGAATTGAATGCTCGCACTGTAGAGCCCTGCAAATTGACCACCCGCCAAAGTGGGTGCTGAAATAGACATTCTTACTCGCCAATACCTAAATCTACCCGATTTTGGCGGGTGTTTATTTTATGCCCTGATCAACTTTCTTTCGTTGTCCAAAAGCCAAAGGCTGAATCCTACTCATATTAGCAACCCATCCTAGTTGTTGCATCTTTAGATTCCCACTCTTTCTAAGTTTCTAACAGAAATATTAATCTCTGTCATATATGGAACTTCTATCAGGTGCGCTGTTTAGAATGGTGTGTTTTCCCACAAATTGCATTTTGGCAAACGTTTGAAAATGACGTTTTATTGGCTGCTTCATTACATGAGTTGCATGTTCTGTTAAGATGCATTTCCGTAATCAAAATGTGATTTCTGTCATTCTGAGCACCGTGGGTGGATGCCCTAATGGGTTATGCACCCAATGCATATGGGTCCGGTAAATATCTCAAATGGCCGGTAAATGAAAATCTTCCCGGTCACATTGTAAGGCGTTACATTTTCCTAACAGAAACCCTGACACACACACACACACACACACACACACACGTTATTGGAGGCTGAGACGTGGTGGTCCCGGGCCTGAGGAGGATGGGTGAGGGGCTGAGGGGGGGTTAGTAGGGGTGAGGGGTTTCCGGGGAGGGGGGGGATATATAGAGGGGTGAGGAATGGTGATGTTGTTAAGTCCTTATTGATCACTTTGATTGATTACCGATTGGACAGTCCTACGCCAATGGGGCTGGTCCACACACACACGCACAGAGCTATGTCTTACTATACTTGTGAGGACTATTCTCCTTAACCCTAACTCCTAAACCTAACCCCTAAGCCTAAAATTGCTTTTTTACAAGTGAGGACCGGCAAAATGTCCTCACTTCTTCTCTGAATTTTAGTTGGTTTACTATTCTTGTGAGGAGTTCTGGTACTCACAAGTATAGTAAAACGTGAACACACACACACACACCCACCCACCCATCCATCCTTTATTCTGTGTTGTTGATGATTAACTAGAGGCCATAAAAGCATATGTATTCCTGTGTAGACATGATAAATGTAACCCCACCATTAATTTATTGGCTCAGTAGTAAATGGAGGATAGCTTTGGGATATGGATAGCAATAGGGTAAGGGTAGCAATGTCTACCCCATTTTTTGAATTTTCAATTACAAGACTGGCTTGTAATAATGTTAGATTTGTATATAATTTAAGATGGCATCAGATGAAGTAGTGTAATTTAGTCAGTGTAGTCTGATTTTAACATTAATATCTGGTAATTGTGGATTGTTTTTTCAACAATATTGCATAGGTTATGAGCTGTGTTCTATTGTGTTTGAATGACCTGAGGAGTAGTCTTGGAGTTTCTGCAGTACATGATCTCTCGTTTTCCTTCGTTCTCCCTCTCGCTCTCTCTCTCTCTCTCAGGCACAAAGCACTCTTGTTCCTCTAGTGAATGTGTGCTGCCCACAGCCATTCAGCCTTTTGTGGGGTGAGGGGGGCCTCTCACCCCTCCTCCCTAGAGGTCACTAAGGGGCAGGGGCAGAGTTTATACCGGTTATGGGGTGTGTGTGTGTGTGTGTGTGTGTGTGTGTGTGTGTGTGTGTGAAATCAATAAAACAGCAGCAGCAACAACTTAACAGATAGAGGGCATGTGATGGGGGAGTAACATGAATATGAATGGAGCCTTCCCCTTTCCCCCCAGTATGAAAAGCTGTGTGTGTTAGAACAACGTGTGAGTCATCAGATTTCTGCTTGTTATTCTGGGTCAGTGGCAGGACAGGCCACCTACTGTGTGTGTGTGTGTGTATGCCTGTGTGTGTGCCGGTGTGTTTTTAATATGTGGTTGTGTGTTTGTGTACAGCAGGGGTCGGCAACAGGCAGCCATGGGCCAAAACCGGCCCGTAGTTTTTTGTTTTCAGCTATAAAAAAATATTTAAAAAATATTTTAGGAAATCTGTTCCCAAGTATTCCCACGCTTAAAAAAAGAGACATATGATTGTGTCTTAATGTATTTAAGGTATGCAATTATTGTTATTTTCAAAGGCAGTCTCTTTTTGGGCCTAGGTGTGGTCAATTTGCGGTGTACAAATTCTAATTTTTATATTCCGGCCCCCTAACCATCCACTCCAACAAGAATCAGCCCGCGGTTGAATCTAGTTGCCTACCCCTGGCATGTGTGAGAATGTGTTGTTGATTTGGTCCAGCCCACTCGTTAATGGTACCATACACACACTCACTACTGTACTGCATACAACTCATATAAACACGAGACAATGATGAGTTTATTTTACGATTATGAAAAAGGATTTATAGTGATGATGATGATGATGATGATGATGATGATGATGATGATAATAAAAGGTATGATGATGACGGTGATGTCAATCCTTGTAGGTGCGTTCTCCAGTGGTGACGTGTCGTCAGGGGCGGGACCTGCTTCTATGAGTGGAGCTAACTCTGAGTTGCCACAGCAACAGCCGACGCCCTCCCTAGCTCCTCCCACCCCCTTCACTGCCACAGCCCCCATGACCAACACAGCATCCCCCCATGTGAGTACATACACACACCACACACACAGACTAGGCCTGTACTGAACAGAGTCAGATCAACGTTACTGTCAGAGACATACTAGTTAAATTAAGTTTAAATAGGTTTAGAAAAGGATGACAGAGGAGTTTTTAGGGCTGTGACAGTCTTGGAATTTTGGATGATGGTTATTGGGCAGCCAAATGCCCGCGGTCACTGTAAAAAAAATAATAATATATATATATAAAAATAAAAGAGACCACTGCACATTTTTCTTAAATCAGCATCTCTACATGTATGACAGCCATTCCATTCCAGTGTCTGTTGAATTCCAACACAGGCACACCTCATTCTACTGAATTAGGTACTGATTAGGTGTTCACCTGAACCAAATCTTATTTAATGAGGAAAAGTATAAAAACCACTGCTGTGGTCATCACTATTCTCTTGCAATAGGATCAGCTGGATGGTAAAAACAGTGCTAATAGTACCTCAAAAGTAATATTAATCAAAAAATAAATATTGACCATGCCAAAAGAGTTGAAAAGGAAAGTTTTGAGTGAGGAAAAGAAGGGTTCAATTCTGGCTTTACTGGCAGAGGGATACAGTGAGCGTCAGGTTGCTTTCATCCTTAAAATTTCAAAGACGGCGGTTCATAAGAACAAGGTCAAGCAGCAGACATTGGGGACAACAAAGCTACAGACCGGCAGAGGGCGAAAACGACTCTACTGACCGGGATGACCGCCAACTCATTCAAATGTCACTCAACAACTGTAGGATGACATCAAGTGACCTACAAAAATAATGGCAAACGGCAGCTGGGGTGAAGTGCACGGCGAGGACAGTTCGAAACAGGCTCCTAGGGGCAGGGCTGAAGTCGTGCAAAGCTAGAAAAAAGCCCTTCATCAATGAGAAGCAAAGAAGAGCCAGGCTGAGGTTTGCAAAAGACCATAATGATTGGACCGTAGAGGACTGGAGTAAGGTCATCTTCTCTGATGAGTCCAATTTTCAGCTTTGCCCAACACCTGGTCGTCTAATGGTTAGACAGAGACCTGGAGAGGCCTACAAGCCACAGCGTCTCACACCCACTGTGAAATGTGGTGGAGGATCGGTGATGATCTGGGGGTGCTTCAGCAAGGCTGGAATCGGGCAGATTTGTCTTTGTGAAGGACGCATGAATCAAGCCAGTACAAGGTTGTCCTGGAAGAAAACGTGCTTCCTTTTGCTCTGACATTGTTCCCCAACTCTGAGGATTGGTTTTTCCAGCAGGACAATGCGTCATGCCACACAGCCAGGTCAATCAAGGTGTGGATGGAGGACCACCAGATCAAGACCCTGTCATGGCCAGCCCAATCTCCAGACCTAAACCCCATTGAAAACTTCTGGAATGTGATCAAGAGGAAGATGGATGGTCACAAGCCATCAAACAAAGCCGAGCTGCTTGAATTTATGCGCCAGGAGTGGCATAAAGTCACCCAACATCAATGTGAAAGACTGGTGGAGAGCATGCCAAGACGCATGAAAGCAGTGATTGAAAATCAGGGTTATTCCACCAAATATTGATTTCTGAACTCTTCCTAAGTTAAAACATTAGTATTGTGTTGTTTAAAAATGAACATGAACTTATTTTCTTTGCATTATTCGAGGTCTGACAACACTGCATCTTTTTTGTTATTTTGACCAGTTGTCATTTTCTGCAAATAAATGCTCTAAATGACAATATTTTTATTTGGAATTTGGGAGAAATGTTGTCAGTAGTTTATAGAATAAAACAAAAATTTTATTTTTACCCAAACACATACCTATAAATAGTAAAACCAGAGAAACTGATAATTTTGCAGTGGTCTCTTAGTTTTTTCCAGAGCTGTGTATATACTACCGTTCAAAAGTTTGGGGTCACTTAGAAATGTCCTTGCTTTCGAAAGAAAAGCAATTTTTTTGTTCATTAAAATAACATCAAATTGATCAGAAATACAGTGTAGACATTGTTAATGTTGTAAATGGCTATTGTAGCTGGAAACGGCTGATTTTTTAAATGGTATATCTACATAGGCGTACAGAGGCCCATTATCAGCAACCATCAGTCCTGTGTTCCAATGGCACGTTGTGTTTGCTAATCCAAGTTTATAATTTTAAAAGGCTAATTGATCATTAGAAAACCCTTTTGCAATTATGTTAGCACAGCTGAAAACTGTTGTGCTGATTTAAAGAAGCAATAAAACTGGCCTTCTTGAGACTAGTTGAGTATATGGAGCATCAGCAATTGTGGGTTCGATTACAGGCTCAAAATGGCCAGAAACAACTTTCTTCTGAAACTCGTCAGTCTATTCTTGTTCTGAGAAATGAAGGCTATTCCATGCGAGAAATTGACAAGAAACTGAAGATCTCGTACAACGCTGTGTACAGTCATGGTCAAACATTTTGAGAATTACACAAGTATGGGTCTTCACAAAGTTTGCTGCTTCAGTGTTTTTAGGTATTTTTGTCAGATGTTACTATGGTATACTGAAGTATAATTACAAGCATTCCATGTGTCAAAGGCTTTTATTGACAATTACATGAAGTTTATGCAAAGGGTCAATATTTGCAGTGTTGACCCTTCTTTTTCAAGACCTCTGCAATCCGCCCTGGCATGCTGTCAATTAACTTCTGGGCCACATCCTGGAAGCCCGTTCTTGCATAATCAATGCTTGGACTTTGTCAGAATTTATGGGTTTTTGTTTGTCCACCCGCCTCTTGAGGATTGACCACAAGTTCTCAATGGGATTAAGCCCGAGCCACTTAGTTATCACTTTTGCCTTATGGCAAGGTGCTCCATCATGCTGGAAAAGGCATTGTTCGTCACCAAACTGTTATTGGATGGTTGGGAGAAGTTGCTCTCGGAGGATGTGTTGGTACCATTCTTTATTCATGGCTGTGTTCTTAGGCAAGATTGTGAGTGAGCCCACTCCCTTGGCTGAGAAGCAACCCCACACATGAATGGTCTTAGGATGCTTTACTGTTGGCATGACACAGGACTGATGGTAGCGCTCACCTTGTCTTCTCCGGACAAGCTTTTTTCCAGATGCCCCAAACAATCGGAAAGGGGATTCATCAGAGAAAATGACTTTACCCCAGTCCTCAGCAGTCCAATCCCTGTACCTTTTGCAGAATATCAGTCTGTCCCTGATGTTTTTCCTGGAGAGAAGTGGCTTCCTCGCTGCCCTTCTTGACACCAGGCCATCCACCAAAAGTCTTTGCCTCACTGTGCATACAGATGCACTCACACCTGCCTGCTGCCATTCCTGAGAAAGCTGTGCACTGGCGGTGCCCCGATCCCGCAGCTGAATCAACTTTAGGAGACGGTCCTGGCGCTTGCTGGACAATCTTGGGCGCCCTGAAGCCTTCTTCACAACAATTGAACCTCTCTCCTTGAATATCTTGATGATCCGATAAATGGTTGATTTAGGTGCAATCTTACTAGCAGCAATATCCTTGCCTGTGAAGCCCTTTTTGTGCAAAGCAATGATGACTGCACGTGTTTCCTTGCAGGTAACCATGGATAACAGAGGAAGAACAATGATATCAAGCACCACCCTCCTTTTAAAGCTTCCATTCTGTTATTCTAACTCAATCAGGATGACAGAGTGATCTCCAGCCTTGTCCTCGTCAACACTCTCACCTGTGTTAACGAGAGAACCACTGACATGATGTCAGCTGGTCCTTTTGTGGCAAGGCTGAAATGCAGTGGAAATGTTTTTTGGGGATTAAGTTTATTTTCATGGCAAAGAGGGACTTTGCAATTAATTGCAATTCATCTGATCACTCTTCATAACATTCTGGAATATATGCAAATTGCCATCATAAAAACTGAGGCAGCAGACTGTGAAAATTTATATTTGTGTCATTCTCAAAACTTTTGACCATGACTGTACTCTACTCCCTTCACAGAACAGCGCAAACTGGCTCTAACCAGAATAGAAAGAGGAGTGGGAGGCCCCGGTGCACAACTGAGCAAGAGGACAAATACATTAGTGTCTAGTTTGAAAAACAGACGCCTCACAGGTCCTCAACTGGTAGCTTCATTAAATAGTACCCACAAAACACCAGTCTCAACGTCAACAGTGAAGAGGCGACTCCGGGATGCTGACCTTCTAGGCAGGGTTGCAAAGAAAAAGCCATATCTCAGACTGCCCATCTTAATCTTTTCTTTTTATTGGCCAGTCTGAGATATGTATTTTTCTTTGCAACTCTGCCTAGAAGGTCAGCATCCCGGAGTCGCCTCTTCACTGTTGACGTTGAGACTGGTGTTTTGCGGGTACTATTTAATGAAGCTGCCAGTTGAGGACCTGTGAGGTAGCTGTTTCTCAAACTAGACACTCTAATGTATTTGTCCTCTTGCTCAGTTGTGCACCGGGCCTCCCACTCCTCTTTCTATTCTGGTTAGAGCCAGTTTGCGCTGTTCTTTGAAGGGAGTAGTACACAGCGTTGTACGAGATCTTCAGTTTCTTGTCAATTTCTCGCATGGAATAGCCTTCATTTCTCAGAACAAGAATAGACTGACGAGTTTCAGAAGAAAGTTATTTGTTTCTGGCCATTTTGAGCCTGTAATCGAACCCACAATTGCTGATGCTCCATATACTCAACTAGTCTCAAGAAGGCCAGTTTTATTGCTTCTTTAATCAGCACAACAGTTTTCAGCTGTGCTAACATAATTGCAAACGGGTTTTCTAATAATCAATTAGCCTTTTAAAATGATAAACTTGGATTAGCAAACACAACGTGCCATTGGAACACAGGACTGATGGTTGCTGATAATGGGCCTCTGTACGCCTATGTAGATATTCCTTAAAAAATCAGCCATTTACAACATTAACAATGTCTACACTGTATTTCTGATCAATTTGATGTTATTTTAATGGACAAAAAAAATTGCTTTTCTTTCGAAAACAAGGACATTTCTAAGTGACCCCAAACTTTTGAACGGTAGTGTGTGAGTGTGTGTGTGTATATACATACAGTGGGTAGAACAAGTATTTGATACACTGCCGATTTTGCAGGTTTTCCTACTTACAAAGCATGTAGAGGTCTGTAATTTTTATCATAGGTACACTTCAACTGTGAGAGACGGAATCTAAAACAAAAATCCAGAAAATCACATTGTATGATTTTTAAGTAATTAATTTGCATTTTATTGCATGACATAAGTATTTGATACATCAGAAAAGCAGAACTTAATATTTGGTACAGAAACCTTTGTTTGCAATGACAGAGATCATACGTTTCCTGTAGGTCTTGACCAGGTTTGCACACACTGCAGCAGAGATTTTGGCCCACTCCTCCATACAGACCTTCTCCAGATCCTTCAGGTTTTGGGGCTGTCGTTGGGCAATACGGACTTTCAGCTCCCTCCAAAGATTTTCTATTGGGTTCAGGTCTGGAGACTGGCTAGGCCACTCCAGGACCTTGAGATGCTTCTTACGGAGCCACTCCTTAGTTGCCCTGGCTGTGTGTTTCGGGTCGTTGTCATGCTGGAAGACCCAGCCACGACCCATCTTCAATGCTCTTACTGAGGGAAGGAGGTTGTTGGCCAAGATCTTGCGATACATGGCCCCATCCATCCTCCCCTCAATACGGTGCAGTCGTCCTGTCCCCTTTGCAGAAAAGCATCCCCAAAGAATGATGTTTCTACCTCCATGCTTCACGGTTGGGATGGTGTTCTTGGGGTTGTACTCATCCTTCTTCTTCCTCCAAACACGGCGAGTGGAGTTTAGACCAAAAAGCTCAATTTTTGTCTCATCAGACCACATGACCTTCTCCCATTCCTCCTCTGGATCATCCAGATGGTCATTGGCAAACTTCAGACGGGCCTGGACATGCGCTGGCTTGAGCAGGGGGACCTTGCGTGCGCTGCAGGATTTTAATCCATGACGGCGTAGTGTGTTACTAATGGTTTTCTTTGAGACTGTGGACCCAGCTCTCTTCAGGTCATTGACCAGGTCCTGCCGTGTAGTTCTGGGCTGATCCCTCACCTTCCTCATGATCATTGATGCCCCACGAGGTGAGATCTTGCATGGAGCCCCAGACCGAGGGTGATTGACCGTCATCTTGAACTTCTTCCATTTTCTAATAATTGCGCCAACAGTTGTTGCCTTCTCACCAAGCTGCTTGCCTATTGTCCTGTAGCCCATCCCAGCCTTGTGCAGGTCTACAATTTTATCCCTGATGTCCTTACACAGCTCTCTGGTCTTGGCCATTGTGGAGAGGTTGGAGTCTGTTTGATTGAGTGTGTGGACAGGTGTCTTTTATACAGGTAACGAGTTCAAACAGGTGCAGTTAATACAGGTAATGAGTGGAGAACAGGAGGGCTTCTTAAAGAAAAACTAACAGGTCTGTGAGAGCCGGAATTCTTACTGGTTGGTAAGTGATCAAATACTTATGTCATGCAATAAAATGCAAAGTAATTACTTAAAAATCATACAATGTGATTTTCTGGATTTTTGTTTTAGATTATGTCTCTCACAGTTGAAGTGTACCTATGATAAAAATTACAGACCTCTACATGCTTTGTAAGTAGGAAAACCTGCAAAATCGGCAGTGTATCAAATACTTGTTCTCCCCACTGTATGCTATGTGCATAATAGCAAAGTTACCCAGCATATTGGTGTTGAGAACAATGCGGCGGAGTTAGGAGACGAGAAAACAGCCCTTGCCTTAATTGTCTAAGAAAAGTGAGGAGAGGAAACCCCAACTTAATTAGGTCTATAATCAACAGCCTAACTGTTACATGTGCCTGGCTTTATAAATTGAAATGTGATTAAAACACATAGGATGTGTCTATATATGGAACAACACACGTTTTTCCACCAATCGATTGGTCGAAAGAACAGATGGCTCTCGGTCGACCAAGATTTTGTTTAGTTGGACAGCCCTCGTTTTTTTCTAAACACATTTTCTCCACTCCTGACTGCTGCTGCAGGGAGGGGAGGCATTTCCTTGGCAACCAAAGACTTGTTTGCTACAACACCTTGCTTGTTTCAGCAAGGAGCAACAAAGTTTCATCAAGTTATACAGTCCATGTTACTGTAGAGTCCATGTTAAGGCAGAAACGGACTCAACCGCACGATTGCCTTCAGTCAGCTGTTCTTTCCACACACACCTAAAAACGAAATATACAGGTAAAAGTCAGTAAATTAGAATATTTTGAAAAACTTGATTTATTTCAGTAATTGCATTCAAAAGGTGTAACTTGTACATTATATTTATTCATTGCACACAGACTGATGCATTCAAATGTTTATTTCATTTAATTTTGATGATTTGAAGTGGCAACAAATGAAAATCCAAAATTCCGTGTGTCACAAAATTAGAATATTGTGTAAGGGTTACATTTTGAAGACACCTGGTGCCACAAAATAATCAGCTGATTAACTCAAAACACCTGCAAAGGGCTTTAAATGGTCTCTCAGTCCAGTTCTGAAGCCTACACAAACATGGGGAAGACTTCAGATTTGACAGCTGTCCAAAAGGCGACCATCGACACATTGCACAAGGAGGGAAAGACACAAAAGGTTATTGCAGAAGAGGCTGGCTGTTCTCAGAGCTCTGTGTCCAAACACATTAATAGAGAGGCAAAGGGAAGGAAAAACTGTGGTCAGAAAAAGTGTACAAGCGATAGGGATCACCGCGCCCTAGTCAAGATTGTGAAAAAAAAAACATTCAAAAATGTGGGGGAGATTCACAAGGAGTGGACAGCTGCTGGAGTCAGGGCTTCAAGATCCACCACCAAGAGACGCTTGAAAGACATGGGTTTCAACTGCCGCATACCTCGTGTCAAGCCACTGTTGACCAAGAAACAGCGCGAAAAGCGTCTCACCTGGGCTAAGGAAAAAAAGAGCTGGACTGCTGCTGAGTGGTCTAAAGTCATGTTTTCTGACGAAAGCAAATTTTGCATTTCCTTTGGAAATCGAGGTCCCAGAGTCTGGAGGAAGACAGGAGAGGCACAGGATCCACGTTGCCTGAAGTCTAGTGTAAAGTTTCCACCATCAGTGATGGTTTGGGGTGCCATGTCATCTGCTGGTGTCGGTCCACTCTGTTTCCTGAGATCAAGGGTCAACGCAGCCGTCTACCAGCAAGTTTTAGAGCACTTCATGCTTCCTGCTGCTGACCTGCTCTATGGAGATGGAGATTTCAGGTTCCAACAGGACTTGGCGCCTGCACACAGCGCAAAATCTACCCGTGCCTGGTTTACGGACCATGGTATTTCTGTTCTAAATTGGCCAGCCAACTCCCCTGACCTTAGCCCCATAGAAAATCTGTGGGGTATTGTGAAAAGGAAGATGCAGAATGCCAGACCCAACAACGCAGAAGAGTTGAAGGCCACTATCAGAGCAACCTGGGCTCTCATAACACCTGAGCAGTGCCAGAAACTCATCGACTCCATGCCACGCCGCATTAATGCAGTAATTGAGGAGCTCCAACCAAGTATTGAGTATTGTACATGCTCATATTTTTCATTTTCATACTTTTTTAGTTGGCCAACATTTCTAAAAAATCCCTTTTTTGTATTAGCCTTAAGTAATATTCTAATTTTGTGACACACGGAATTTTGGATTTTCATTTGTTGCCACTTCAAATCATCAAATTAAATGAAATAAACATTTGAATGCATCAGTCTGTGTGCAATGAATAAATATAATGTACAAGTTCACCTTTTGAATGCAATTACTGAAATAAATCAAGTTTTTCAAAATATTCTAATTTACTGACTTTTACCTGTATACTTGATTATTTTTACAGACGGGGCGATTTACAATTTTCTTTAAGGGGCCCGCCCTTTGGTTTTTTGAGGCCCCGTGCCGATCTTTGATTACCCGTTCTCTTGACTACTTCTTCCATTTTCTAATAATTGCGCCAAAGTTGTTGCCTTCTCACCAAGCTGCTTGCCTATTGTCCTGTACCCATCCAGCCTGTGCAGGTCTACAATTTTATCCCTGATGTCCTTACACAGCTCTCTGGTCTTGGCCATTGTGGAGAGGTTGAGTCTGTTTGATTGAGTGTGGGACAGTGTCTTTATACAGGTAACGAGTTCAAACAGGTGCAGTTATACAGTAGATGGAGAACAGGAGGGCTTCTAAAGAAACTAACAGGTCGTGAGAGCCGAATCTTACTGGTTGTAATGATCAACTACTTATGGTCTGCAATAAAATGCAAAGTAATTACTTAAAAATCATACAATGTGATTTTCTGGATTTTTGTTTAGATTATGTCTCTCACAGTGAAGTGTACCTATGATAAGAAATTACAGACCTCACATGCTTTGTAAGTGGAAAACCTGCAAAATCGGTCAGTGTATCAAATACTTGTTCTCCCCAGGTATGCTATGTGCCTATAGCAAAGTTACCCAGCATATTGGTGTTGAGAAATGCGGCGGAGATTAGGAGACGAGAAAAACAGCCCTTGCCTTAATTGTCTAAAAAGTGAGGAGAGGAAACCCCAACTAATTAGGTTCTATAATCAACAGCCTAACTGTTACATTGCCTGGCTTATAAATTGAAATGTGATTAAAAAACACATAGATGTGTCTATATATGGAAAAAACCACGTTTTCCACACAATCGATTGGTCGAAAAGAACAGATGGCTCTCGGTCGACCAAGATTTTGTTATTGGACAGCCTCGTTTTTTCTAAAACATTTTCTCCACTCCTGACTGCTGCTGCGGGAGGGGAGGCATTTCCTTGGCAACCAAAGACTTGTTTGCTACAACACCTTGCTTGTTTCAGCAAGGAGACAAAGTTTCATCAGTTATACAGTCCATGTTACTGTAGAGTCCATGTTTAAGGCAGAAACGGACTCAACCGCACGGTTGCCTTCAGTCAGCTGTTCTTTCCACACACACCTAAAAACTAAATATATACTTGATTATTTTTACGGTTATGAAGGCGATTCTATTTTCATGACGGTCTTCATCCATAATTGTCGTTTACACAGTTATACTGTAATTGTGCCAGCCCTAAGTTTTTTATGGGCTCATGTTTCATATCGTTCCATAGAACATCATGAACCACTCCAGCTACGCCCCCCATCTCTGACCCCTGAACTCTTAGCCCGTCCACCTTCCAAATGAGCAGGGGCTTCTATTTTCCGCCTCTCTTCTTTTTCTCTTTCTATTTGCCCAGTTGTCCCCCTCTCTGCCCCTTCCCCCCCTCCCTTCTCTGTCTCCTCTACTGTGATGTGATCTGACAGGCACCATGGAGGAGAAGGGGGGTGGGGGGCGGTCATACTCTAATTCCACCAATCACCCTCCAACTCCAACTCCCCACATACACACTCCCTGACCCCCACCTCCCATACATAGTTGAGCGGAGAGGGGGCCCAGGGAAGCAGGATATCACGCCTATTTACTACATATAGAGGACTTGGAGCTACTCCAAGCACAGTGTGTGTGCGTGCGTTGCAAATTGAAATAAGGAAGTGGGTGTGTGTGCGTCTCCCCTTATGTTACCAACTCCATCCAGTCATCCTACATGTATTGTAACTGAGTCTCTCTTTCTCCCCTGTAGGTGAGTGGGTTACCAGGTCCAGTGTTCAACATGGCTCCCTCCCACATGTTTGGAAACCGACTCAACCCCAACTCTGCCATGGCTGCTCTCATCGCACAGTCTCAGGCTTCCCCCGCAGGTTGGCAACCAACGTGTGGTGTGTGTGGTTCTGTGTACTGTGTGCGCGTGTGTGTTTTTTGATCCTAGGGATGATCCAGCCTCCATGGTCCTACAAGGGTTCTGAAACACAACACCCACTACCCCTGCCAGGTGTACATCACCACACTCACATGCATCCCACCATGCACCACGTTGTGGTGGGTGGTGAGTGTGGTGTGCGTTGTGTGGTTTGCAGATAGATCAGAATGGTCTACGAGGGTTAGGGAGACAAAGCATGCTAGGAGACCGACTCACAGGCAACAGGAAGCTAGGAGGAGGTGGATGAGGGGAGGAACTTGTGGAGGTGCGGAGGAAAGGGGAGAGGGAGGAAAGGGGGAGGAGCGGGAAAAAGGCAGAGGAGCGGGAGGAAGGGGGAGGAGCGGGAGGAAAGGGGGAGGAGTGGGAGAAAGGGGGGAGGAAGGGGGAGGAGTGGGAGAAAGGGGGAGGGGGCGAGGGATAAGGGGGAGAGTGGGTGGAAAGGGGGAGGAGCTGGCTGAAGGGGGGGGAAGGGGGGGGGGGCGGAATGAAGGGGGAGGGGCGGGATTGAAGGGAGAGGAGTGGGAGAAAAGGGGGAGGGGTGGGATGATGAAGGAGAGGAGTGGGAGAAAAGGGGGAGGGGCGGGAATAAGGGAGAGGAGTGGGAGGAAAGGGGGGGGGAGCGGGCTGAAGGGGGAGGAGCAGGAGAAAAGTGGGGAATAAAGTGTTTCCTGGTGTTTCAGTACCACCTGCAGCCATTGGTCCTCCCTTATCTCTAGGGGTTAACCATATTGCAACTGACCGTGGGCGTGTTTGTGCTTTTGAATGACGGGCTGCTGGTAGAAGTATGGAAAGGGTTCAAAATAAAGGAAAAGAAAAGAGGGGAAGGGGGTAAAATCGGAGTTAAGATTGACTTTCTTAAGTGGAGGCGAGTGCATGCTGGTGTGTGTGTGTGCATGCTGGTGTGTGTGTGTGCATGCTGGTGTGTGTGTGTGCATGCTGGTGTGTGTGTGCATGCTGGCTGGTGTGTGTGTGTGTGTGTGTGTGTGTGTGTGCGTGCATGCTGGTGTGTGTGTGTGTGCATGCTGGTGTGTGTGTGTGTGTGTGCATGCTGGTGTGTGTGTGTGATTTATTACTCTGGCAGAGGAAAATGAAAAGAGACGTCTGGCCTGGAGGGAGAAGAGAGAGATGGCGAGAGAAAGTGTGTGTGAGAGAGAGAGAGAGAGAGAGAGACGCAATCACAGTGTGGTAAGTGTGTTGTTTACTGTTTGTGTGTGTGTATAGATCAGGAGGTAGGAGATGGAAACAGCATTGGAGCTCCGGGCTTCTCCAGACGAGTCTCTCCCAAGACCACCCTCTGTCCGCGGTAAGTACACACACACATTTTTCCCTTTTACCCAGTGAGCACACACACACTCCCCCTATTACCAGTGAGCCCTTATTTACATTCCACACAAAAAAATCTCTGCCCATCCCCCTCTCCTCTCCTCTCCTCTCTTCTCTTCCCCTCTGCTGGCCTCTTATGTGTGTGGGTTTCTCTCTCTCCCTCCCACAAACACTCTTTCTGGTCTCTTTCCCTCTCTCTCCCCCCCCCCCCCCACCACCCCCCCCATAAAGGCGTTTCTATCTCTCCCTCCACCTAAATGCGTTTCTATCTCTCCCCTCCAAAGACGTTTCTATCCCCCCCCCCTCCCCGAAAGGCGTTTCCATCTCTCCTCCCCCTGCAGGCGTTTCCATCTCTCCTCCCCCTGCAGGCGTTTCCATCTCTCCTCCCCCTGCAGGCGTTTCCATCTCTCCTCTCCCTGCAGGTGTTTCCATCTCTCCTCTCCCTGCAGGTGTTTCCATCTCTCCTCCCCCTGCAGGCGTTTCCATCTCTCCTCCCCCTGCAGGTGTTTCCATCTCTCCTCTCCCTGCAGGTGTTTCCATCTCTCCTCCCCCTACAGGTGTTTCCATCTCTCCTCCCCCTGCAGGCGTTTCCATCTCTCCTCTCCCTGCAGGTGTTTCCATCTCTCCTCCCCCTACAGGTGTTTCCATCTCTCCTCCCCCTGCAGGCGTTTCCATCTCTCCTCCCCCTACAGGTGTTTCCATCTCTCCTCCCCCTGCAGGCGTTTCCATCTCTCCTCCCCCTAAAGGTGTTTCCATCTCTCCTCCCCCTGCAGGTGTTTCCATCTCTCCTCTCCCTGCAGGTGTTTCCATCTCTCCTCCCCCTGCAGGCGTTTCCATCTCTCCTCTCCCTGCAGGTGTTTCCATCTCTCCTCTGTGATGGTGGGAAAGGTCCTTCAGCTCTGGGCTTGCGTTTCTTTTTGCTCGTTTATCTTTTTACAAAGATAGTTTGCCTTTTTCTCTGTTTTTATGGTGAATAGCGTGTGTTTAAAGGGGTGTCCACATACCCTGTGTATATATAGTGTAAGTTGGCTTTATTCAGTGCCAAAAATATATTTCTAAAACAATAGGACTCTGTATGATGTGGGTCTTTACCGTCTTATGTGGACAGTGGCTTCACTCCTGCTGTGTATTCACTTGTGTGTTCTTCTCTTGACATCACTTTTCCGAACGCTTTACTTCTTAGGTCAAATTCAGATTAAATATACATTTCTCCCACAATGCAAATGAAAAGTGAAATGTCATATTGGGATTTTTTGTTGGAAGGATGAAACAAATCAGAATGTTATCAGCAACCTAATTCTGCTATCTTCCCTTTAAGAAGAAAAAGGTTTCCTTCAGTTTGCTCCATAAGGGGGAGAACATTTACTAGCTGAATTTTCCAATAAGTTGTTTGGTTTCGTTGTGTGTAGTTCTCTCCTGGCTCTCTTTTTCCTCCCCATCTTATTTCTCTCTTTCACTCATCAGTCTAAACTCAGTGATTTACTGCACCGTGGGTGCCCACCACACACCTCTCTCTCTCTCTCTCTCCCCCCTTTTCAATAGCTCACACTTTAAGGACAAATTGATGTTATGTTTGGTTGTTAATATCCTTTTCTCTCTCCCCCCCAACCCTCCTCTCTCACCCACCCCTCCCGCTCTCCCTCCAGTTCTCCTCTAGGTGGGCTGCAGATCCGGTATGACCCAGCAGGGTCGTTGGGGTCAGGGTTGGGTTTGGGGGGGCTAGGGTCAGGTCAGGGAGGTGGAGGAGACACAGCACCCCCGGTGGCCACCTCTATAGAACAGCTGCTGGAGAGACAGTGGAGCGACGGACAACAGTTCCTACTGCAGCAAGGAGCACAGGGAGATGGTGAGCTCACACACACGTACATTACTTTATTCATCAAATATAATCTACTCGCCTATCATTGCATTGTTTGGATACTTAAATTGTATTGGTTTAATATAGTGCCCCCCCCCCCCCCCTCCGTCACTCCTTGCCTCTCTCCTACTCTCTCCCTCTCTCTCTGTGGTAGTGTTGGGGATGTTGAAGTCCCTCCACCAGCTGCAGCAGGAGAACAGGCGCCTAGAGGACCAGATTAAAACTCTCACCATGAAGAAAGAACGACTGCAGCTCCTGTCAGCTCAGCTGTCTGTGCCTTTCACTCCTACTGCTGCTGCCCAAGGTACACACACTCCTATTACCGCCTCACCCTAACAAACACGCATACAAACTGTCACTCTCATTGCCTGCCTGTGTGATGTTGTGTGTTACAGATGTGAAGAGTGACTCCTCTCTACCCATACCTGCTCAGGTAAGGCAGTTGAAGCTCCAGCACATAGTGAGTGAACCCAGCTAGCACACTAGTTGTTATACTGTCATTACAGAGGGCTGTTGGAATGGTAAGAGATTGCATAGGAGATACTGGTTAACAAAGTTCTCTCTCTCTCTCTCTCTCTCTCTCAGGATAGCGTGTCGTGTGGTCGTAGTAGTGGTGGATCTACCTCTTCTCTGTCCACCCCCCCCTCCGTCTCTCACAGCCCCCCCCAGCCACCTCAGCTCAACGGGGTTGCCGTGGGAACCATGATGCTGGGAGGGGGAGCGGGGCTAGGGATGGGGGGGGTAGTTGGGGTTCTGAACGGAGTCATACAGACTACCTCCAGCCCTCACACATACACTCACACACACACCTCTGCACCGGGAACCAGCGCCACTCTGCCCATCTCCAGCTCCATTAACAACAGGTAGGTACACTACATCTGTCTGTCTGAGTCTGTCTGCCTGGCTACCTGGTAGTCTGTCTTTCTGTCTGCCTGTCCTTCCATTGATTGAAATGTCTGTCTGTTTTTGGCTTCAAATTGATTCCCTTATACTTTCTCCTGCAGCTCAGCTACTGCTAAAAGCGGGGGAGAGAGTGTATGTGTGTTGTAGTTTTCTAACTGTGTGTGTATATGTCTGTGTGTTTTCAGGTTGGGTGCCTTGTCTGAGCAGCAGAGGCTCTTACTGCACCAGCACCAACTACAACAGCTACTGTCTTCACAGCCCTCTGCGGTAAACACATACACACACACACACACACACACACACACACACACACCTAGCACCACTGTACTAAACACAGCAGGCTTATTTATCAGAGTTCCAAGGTCACATGATTAATTCTCCCTCCCTCCCCGTCCCTCTCTCTCTTCCTCTCTCTTCCTCCCCCTCCCTCTCTCTCTTCCTCTCTCTTCCTCCCCCTCCCTCTCTCTCTTCCTCCCCCTCCCTCTCTCTCCCTCCCCCTCCCCCTCTCTCTCTTCCTCCCCCTCCCCCTCTCTCTCTTCCTCCCCCTCTCTCTCTTCCTCCCCCTCCCCCTCTTCCTCCCCCTCCCCCTCTCTCTCTTCCTCTTCCTCCCCCTCCCCCTTACCCTCCCTCCAGGAACAGCAGCAGGTGTTATTGTATCAGTTGATGCAGCAACAACAGGACCTCCACCAACTCCAGTCTCTCTCCTCCTCCTCCCAGCTTCCCTCCATCGCTCTCTCTTCCGCTCAGCTGCCAATCACCTCCCTCCCTTCCTCCTCCCATGGCCAGGGCACCATCACCGCCAACCCCTTCCTGGCACTGCACACACACACACACTCACACCCCGACACACACACACACGCCACTGCACAGAAGCCCCGGCTGGCTGAGAAGGCTGTAGGAGTCACTGGACAGGAGAAGACCTGACCCACAAAACAGCAATCTTGCTCTTTCTGTTGCTCATTCTCTCTCTTTTTTTTTTTTATCTCTGTCTCTCCTCTATCCATCTCTCTCTATCTCTCAGGGGTCTCCACCATCATATGAACTCTGATCAGTACTGTGCGTTCAGCACACAAGCTAGCCCACAGAACTACAATTACTTTAAACTACAAAAACTATGAGGACACTAACACAGCTGACTGATGACTCATAGCTCTGCTGGAGAGATGAGGTCTGGGAACTATGACATTTTACAGTTTTATGAGATGGAGGAGTCCTGCACTGGACATGTAACTGCTGTTACCTCTTGTCTGTCTGAGTGTATGGACCAGCATAAGACCTAACCAGAGACCACTCTAATGTAAGACTGACTGACCGCTCAGCCATGGAAGCCTTGTTATGACTCTCTTTCTGCTTTACCTACTTCACACACCAGCCTATCAGGGTCCCTCAACCCTCAGCATCGGCCAATAGGAATCCACAACAGTCAGGACTGGCAAGTCAGGGTCCATTCCCCAAGTGCCTAAGGCCGAGGGGGCGGGGTTACTCATGCTCCTCGACCTGTCAGTCATCCATTCTCACCATATTACTGGCTGTCAAGCTGCATTGACCAGGCAACAGATCATGCAACATTCTGAGAAGCTGGAAGCCAGGAAATGTATTTTGATGCGTTCACAAAATACTGAAGCCAACTTTATAAATTCTGTTTTTATTTATTTAGCATTTGTTTATGTAATAATGGGTACAGGATGCTATATTTTCAAAGTACCCACTGTTCTTCAAACATTTGTTTTATACTACTGTTTAAAGTTTCACACCCAAATCTTGCTGTAAACATTTTTGATGGGGGGAAAAAAAGTTGTGTATTGAGATTAGATTGAACTACTGGCGGATGGAGGTGGTTGGTGGTGGTGATTGTGTACATAGCTGTTATTGTGGGAAGGGGCGTGGGTTCAATGCCACAGTTTTGACGTCGTTTGTGTAAATAAATATATATTTTTCATTGGCTGTGGGGTGTAAATAAGTGATTGTGATTGGCCGTGTTGGTGTGAAGGATAGCCAATGAAGCCTAATTTTGTGTGTGAAAATCTTAGGACCAGACAACAGGCGATGGTGACTGGACACAAAGTATTAATTTATTTTTATATGTGCAGGGACATTGGTTTGTTGTTTTTATTCGTTTTGCACCATCATTTTATACGCCACCTCTGGGCACCACGTTTCCATCTGTGTTCACTTTTGTTTGGATCAATTTTGTACAACTGAAAAATCATAAAACCTCCTCAAATGTTTGTATTTCAAAACACCAAAATAATTATATGTTCTGGATAAAGAAAGAAAGAGACTGTTGGTGAAAAGATGAGGAGTCACAGTGTAGCTAGTGGGAAGACGGTTAAAGCTTGATTAACAGCCCTGTTCAACTGCTTTTTGTCAACAGCATTTTTACACTTTGGTTGAATAAAGAACAGATCTACCTCCTCTAAGCCTGCTGTCTAATAACGTGTGTTTCTCTTTGTTTAATCTCTATCTCTGGACGGATGAAATGATGATAAACACTGACTCTCGCTCTCTATCGTTAGCCGTCTTCTCTCTAGTGTTTAACAGTTTCTGCATGCCCATTTTATACTGGTCCAGGGTCCCCTGCCCCAACAAACACACACACACACAAACACACTGTGCTCCCCTGTCCCTGATGCCTTCCCGCTGCCTAGCGGTGTGTGTGTGTACCATTCTGCTACATCTGCTTCTGCTCTGGGAAATTAAAAGCTCACTTACCCCTCACATCTCAGCCCCCCCAGCAACTCTTCAACCCCCCTCTTCCGCCCACCCTCTATCAGCCCTGTCACTCAAGTCCAGGCTGTTTAAACATGCCCCCTCCCTACCTCCTTGTCTACCACTTTCCTTCTCTCCTCCCCCGTCTTTCTTCTCGACATCACCCCTTTCTCCTCTCCTCCCTCTCATTCAATCCATTCACAGCATTCCCCTTCAGGAGTGTGAGCAGAGCTGGCGTCCATCATTGATAACCTCCCAGCAGCCACTGCTTCCCGAACAGCTGGGGGGGGGGGGAACAGCTAAGGGAGGACAGCTAAGGGAGGACAACCATGCTGCCCAACGAGGTGCCTGATCAAAAGTCAAACACTAAGCCCCAGAACATCAGGGGTGCAGGTTCACACACAATTCTCCATTGAGCTTTTTAGTCCAAGAGTAGGCTCATCTGGGACCGGGAAACTGGCCCAAAATGTCCAGATGAAGAGCTCAAAAGAAGTCCTAAGTAATAATTAAACATGCATTTAGTAATTCATTTAAACATCTAATGAGTTATTCAATTTAGTCATTCAAATTAATCATATAATTACCAGTTAGAATAACTCAAGAGTGCGGCGGAAAACCATTAGCAGCTGTAGTTTGGTTTAAATTATTATGGGATGGGTGTCGTGAGGGGGTTAATCCTGTGTGCGTGTCGTGAGGGGGATGATCCACTGAAAACTGCCTGGCCAAGATTCCTGTTCAGCATAGAACCAGATCGCTCTGACAGAGGTGTTTAGGGCCAGGAACGGAGGAAAGGAGAGGAAAAAGGGAGAGTAAAAGGGAGGGAGGAGAAGAGAAAGGGTATGGGGAGAGGGTAGAGGGAAAGAGGAGAGGAGAATAGAAGAGAGGAAAGCACTGAAGCCTTTGGGAGCAGCTGACGGGATCAGACCTATGTGTATAGGATACCCCCCACAGGTTCCTCTCCTGTAGGATAATGGTCCTGAGGAGAAGCAGCAGGATTCTCCCTCATCCCTCTTCATACACAGACAGCCTGTATTCTTCTGCTAACTGACACTCCTCTGTCCATCCCCCCATCCTACCCCTCTCCATACTCATCTCTTCCTAGAACTACTACTCCTACTCTCTGTGGCTACTCTGTCCTATACTTCTTCCCCTCAATACACACACAGACTTCTAATGTCCTTTCTAGCTATTTACCTATACGACTGAGTGAAGGATGTTAGTGTGTGTGTATGTACAGTACAGACAGTATGCAAAGCTTCCATCTGACACAAATCTCTCTCTGTCTCCTCTCTTTTCCTAATCTTCATCTCTCTGTAGTCCACTCCTGAACCCCAGCAGGCCTCTTCCAGAGCAGGGGGATTTCCCAGCCACTGCCTGCCCAGGGCTCACAGAGAATGGGAAGAGAGAGCTTGCTAGAGAGAGGGGAGAAGGCCTCTACCCCTACTCTCTCATTCTATATCAAGCAACAAATACATTGGAAGGCTTGGCGTGTAGCCTATGAAATAATGTCCATTTTAGAATTTGTTGAAATATTTAGGAAATGATCACTCAAAACCTCATGATTGAAGTGCCTTAAATTATTACACTATTTGTTATTGAACAAATACATTTGACATTTTACAAACACAAAATCTGATCATGTAAACTCAATTATAATAGGCCTATTTTAAATGCCATGGTGAAAACAAAAGTCAAACACATGCACGGTAAATTATGCATTTAGGCTATATTAGTTGGATTTCTAAATAGGATATTTTCAGAGTGCAAAGTCTAAATTTAACGTAAAATAAACAAATACATTTCAGAACAAAATATCTGGTTTATTTTAAGGCTCTGTGGGCTGCTATAGCCTACATTGAATCGTAGTTTAGTGGTGTGTTCTGCCGTTTTCCAGTTGTCAGCGGGGTGGAGTTGATCTGTAAACCGAGCGAGGTGCAGCAGACTGTGGTTATAGCCCACAGTCCTAACCGTTGACTTCGGCTCCAACATGGAAAACGAGAAACTGAAGACTGATCACCGTTAGTCAGTCCGTGTCTGAAATGTCTCACAGTTTAAAACAGAGTTGCACTATAAACAATATATTCTAAAAACAGTCGGTTTGTTTTATTTCTGCTATTCCCCATCGACTGTTTTTAGAATATATTGTTTATCGTGCAACTCTGTTTTAAACTGTGAGACATTTCAGACACGGACTGACTAACGTGTTGGAGCCGAAGTCAACGGTTAGGACTGTGGGCTATAACCACAGTCTGCTGCACCTCGCTCGGTTTACAGATCAACTCCACCCCGCTGACAACTGGAAAACGGCAGAACACACCACTAAACTACGATTCAATGTAGGCTATAGCAGCCCACAGAGCCTTAAAATAAACCAGATATTTTGTTCTGAAATGTATTTGTTTATTTTACGTTAAATTTAGACTTTGCACTCTGAAAATATCCTATTTAGAAATCCAACTAATATAGCCTAAATGCATAATTTACCGTGCATGTGTTTCACCATCGCAATGGGGAAATACAGGCAACACAGTAAACACAAACGTGCGTTGTCGCATGAGACAACGTGAGCAGCAGCACTGTAGAAGCAGGTTAGCTACATCTAGACTAATTTAGCCAACGCTACACGCATCTATTTATAGGCCTTTTCATTTTCAATAACTGTATCTACTTTGACTCTGAGCACTCTCTGACGAGATTATATTAGGCTACTTTTATTTTGTAATGCTTTCATGTTTAGTTAAGGCCTACTGCAGTCCAGAGCCCTTTGTTGTAGAAGGCTCTACTGTAGCCTATCAACTGATGAATGTTTCAAATAATATTCAAAGGGATGGTTCAGCTGAATTACAAATGTACATATTTCTTTCCTTACCTTGAAATCAGTCTACGGACAACGCGAAACTGTAATCCATGCTTTGGTTTTGTAGGCACTACCATTAGCATATCCTAACCAAAAACCAATGCAGGTCAATGTTAGCAATAGCATGCTTTTAAGTTCCCCCTGTGAGGATCAACATTAATTGATTAATCAATTGATTACTGTGATTGGTGGATAAATAGAACATATCACGTTATGAAGTCAGTGTAGGCTGCATGGGTGAATGGGTCTGTTTACCGGGTCTGGTCGGGCCTGTGTGTTTCTCGGTTCAGGATCAGGATGAAAGATGAACTGTCATGACCCAGACACCCTAGGATGGCAGATATTAATGTAATCCTGCATGGTTATGATGAATGTGACGGGATATAGATCTGAGATCATCAGGTAAAAATAGACACGTCATTGGCTCATTATTGGACTCATAATAATTAATAATAGAACCTAGTCCAGGAAGGGCCTGAGTCGTTCCTATAAGGCTATGTTAAATAATTCCAGCTGTAACGGATGTCAAGGGGATAGGATTTAAAATGGGTGTAATCTCCAGACATGAGGAGGGCAATTCGTTTTAGTCAGGCACCCGCAGGCTGCGCCACGCACACAGAGACCCATTCACCTGCAGGAGCGTGGGAGTTCATTTATTATGGAGATGCAGGGAGGCCCTGTGTGCGTGTTTTGGGTTTTACTATCCTTGTGGGGACCAGAATTCCTCACAAGGATAGTAAAACAAGGAAAATACATTTTGCAGGTCCCCACAAGGAAAAAAGCTGGTTTAGGGTTATGGTTACAATTAGGGTTAGGGGTAGTGGTTAAGGTTAATGGTTAGGTTTAGGGTTAGGAAAAATATTATTTTGAATGGGAATCAATTGTTTGGTCTCCACAAGGATAGTAAAACAAACATGTGTGTGTGTGAGAGAGAGAGAGAGAGAGAGAGAGAGAGAGAGAGAGAGAGAGAGAGAGAGAGAGAGAGAGAGTATGGATGTGTGAATAGATTTTGTGCATAAATGCAATTTTCCATTATTTTTTTTGCAGCCTACAATCTAG